ACAGGCATCGATCATTCAGAAGGCAGTGCGGGACCCTCAGAGGCAAATAAGGGTCAGTCTTGGGACCCCAGAGACAGAAATGAGGCAACCAGAGGCCGGTGTGTGGCCCTCAGACGCCGTTTGGGGCCCCTGAGGCCGGTTTAGGGGCCCTCAAAGGCCAGTGGAGGGTCGCTGTGAGGTCGAGGTGATCCCTCAGCGGTCAATGTGGGCGTTTGACCGCCACTGAAGGGCCATTAAAGGTCAGTATAGGACCATCAAAGAACCGTATGGGAGCTGTTAATAGCTGGCGTGGGTTCCTTGAGCCTTGTGACAATCGAATAAGGGTCATATCCCCATACGCCCATGGGGGCACATCGGTTGTTCGGTAGGGGCCAAATGATATGATGGCCCCTCTGATTTGCCTTTGAGGGGCCATGGCTTTGAAAGCCCCCCCCCCCCCTCCCCCCTGCGAACGTCACTGGCACCGAAATGCGGCACTTCCGTGAGTGACTGCGAATGTATCCGGATTCCGGGCCCACTACCCACTCACGATAGCGCTATCGCGGAGCGGCCGAAAGAAAGGAAGTTGCACTGGCACATCCCCGTGAGGCGCGCCAAGGCCGGCTGACTCATTGTTGACCATGAGCCCGCCCTGATCTGGCGTCGCGTGTCATGATTTTGCTCTCCTGCAACTTTGCTTTCCTGTAACTCAAATCTGTTCAGTAAGGATTGTTGTATTAATAATTCATTTTTCTTATTCAGTCTTCATGCATTTTTAGCACGTACAGCCCACCGCTAAAGTAATGTCGGGTTTTACCAATCTCAACGGTTGGCTTTGACTGGCGATTGTTTAATGCGGAGTGATCGAAAAGAAGATGTCAATAGCTAAAGTTGCAGCTGCAAGGGTGGCGGTATATATAAGCTACATTCAAAGTTTCATTGTAGTCTGGCTAATCTGGCTGTAAATACCTACTTGGAAAATAATTAACTCGCAGCTCATAACAATAGGTAATGCAAAGCTGCCGTGGCGATTCTACTTCCGTCAGTGGGTAGTGCGGATAAGATTCAGGCACCTTATGCCTTACTCAAAAGTCAAACTACTACTTGCCTCAACGTCAAAAGAAGCTGATCCATGGGTGTCAGCGCCCCGTTCCGTTGGGTCTCGTGCTGGACGTCCGGGGATATCATGTGCGCAATCCTCTGCACAACATCCTTTGAAAGACGGAAACGTTCCCTGCAACATTTCAGGTAAATGAGTATCGTTTCAGGTTTAAACATTGGCACCTATGCTCTGCATTATAAAGCATTAATCAGAATTTTGTTAGCATCCCTCGGCTTCAGTGAATAAAGTATAGTTGAAAGAAGTTGTCATCAATCCGTAAGCTTAATTAATTCATCTGAGCTTAATCTGATTCTGAGATCAATTTCACCATTGGAAATATAGCATGCCGATACATACTCATACTCATACTCATATATTTCGGTTACATCCAAGAAATTGGGTTTTCAGTAAACCACGTCATACATTCAGTAGTTCAAAACTCATGCCTATACCTACAGGACAGATTCTATAGAGTTTAAAACACACCACACATGATAAACTAACTGACCACATTGACCTAGCGCAGCCGGATTAGCCCTATTAGTGGCAGGGGGGGGGGGGGTGTTTTCATCCACCACCCCTCAGGTTTTTCGGGAATATCTCCGAAACCGCTGAAGCTACGATGCTGAAACTTTCTGACTTTTCCTAAAACTAAATTGGGCACATTCCCTGAAAATTTCAAGTTCATAACTTTACCAGGGGCGGCTCCAGAGCACTGAGAATTGGGGGGTCCTATTCGTGAAGCGAGTCATTTGGGCGAAGATCACGATGCTGATGTATTATAACTGTATGCACCAGTTTTACGAACAGTGAATGAAAGGTTTAATGTGATAACATATACAAAGTTATTGTGCATCCTCTTTTGACACGTTTTTGCTATAATAGGCGGATCCAGGCGTCCAAAAGGGGGGGGGGGGGGTTATGTTTTACCTCCCAACATAGGTGCCCTGACACCGCCTATGCATGACCAATACAATTGTAGTCGTTCTCTCATAAGAAAATTGTAACATAACAAGACCATTACCACCCTATTTCGAAACAGTATTAACAAAAACCTTATTTACTATACTTTTTGTGTACCCCCAATCTCAATGATCTGTATCCGCCTATGATTTTTGAAAATGCATATTTTTAGGATCCATGTGAATTCCTGGTTCATTCTCTATCGATCGGCAAAAGTTGCGTTAAGATTGGTTTAGAAACCTGGCCGTGATAAAGTCTAAAATGTATCTGCAATTTGCCCGTTTTTACACCCCTCTACCCCCCTATTGACATTTTTTAATTTTTATTTTTTAGAAATGTAGATTACGTTGAGCGAAATCGAATGCCGTTTGAATTTTGAAAATCGACCCGTTAGATCTCGAGATATCAGGGGGGGGGTCGTAAACAGCCCCCCCCCCCCCTGCCACTAGTAGGGGTAGCCAGGAGCCTGCCACTAATAGGGTTAAACATGCCGTTTCTTAGCCTTTTTACGGAACGCCGCCAGACTGGTGCAGCTTCGAACCAGGGTATATAGAACAACGGGTACACCAACGACGAGGAAAGCGCCCATTTTACCTGGATGAGTTACATGGAAGGTAATATATTTTTTGAATATGGAATAAATAACGTATTCAATTATGACGAGTAAAGCCAAATTCATAAAGCAGTTATTTTTAAATTATATGAACCAAAAATAACATACTAACCATAGTTTAAAAGTTAGAATAAAGTTAGTTGAAAAGCCTATAGTTGATACTAAGATGGAAGGAATCTATGGAAGGCGGAAATGGCGCAGCTGTTTCATTCTTAACCCGCGCCCTGCTGGGGGGGGATGTTTGAACACCCCCCTTGTGGTTTTTTGCGAATATCTCAAAAACGGCGGCGCGGAGCACCGCCGTTTTTGGTACACCTTATCATACATCAATTCTACACATGTTGTGAAAATTTCAGACCAAGGTCATTCAAGGTCAGGTCACCAGGTCACTTGAAGTGACCTCACCTCATAAAAAGTTTCAATGTCTGCCATAGCTACACCGAGTGACCGATCGCTTTGAAACTTTCAGCGATTAATAAGGGTAACAGTATCTATCAAATGTATATCTTGGAATTTTGATATCGGTGACCTAAGGTCAGGTCAATTTTGCGACCTCCCCATTATAAGTCAATGGGAAAAAATTGAAATGCGCCTCTTTTGGACGAAAGACATTATAAACACTCCCAAACACTGAATTACAAGTGGTTTAGACACACTGAACATGAAAATGGTGTCCGTGACCCCTGTTTATGCCCTGAGGTCATCTTAGGTCACGAATGGTATCTGATGATGATGATGATGATGATGTATTTCGAATAGCCTCCATAAATGGCTTTTACGGCTAAGAGTCATACAAGATACAATACATATGTACACTTGGATAGAATCAGCACTCGACCTAGATACTATACTAGGATTACCCGCGTGCTCCGCAACGCGAAGAAGGGTTATTTTTGACCCGTGGGTATTGGGTTGGTCTGTGTCGATTTGGCTGGTATCCATTTGGTTCGATTGTTTTTCGACGGCCAAGCACTTTGTAATAAAACAAAAAAAGATACATCGCATCGAGGTGCCCGTGTCGTATTATCATGCGTTCTACTTTAGAATGATTCGAAAACTGGCGTGAAGTCTTTTGAGGGCCATCGATGAATTTCGCTAAAAATGACGATATAATGGTTTGGAACATTTACATTTTTAAGAATGCTGTTGCTCATTATGCAAAAATGAAGACTGAACCTTGGACAGAATTGAATGCTCTTTCCAACGTTGCCATTTTTTATTGCCAGAAATATCAGATCATTGAGCAAAACCCGTGTGATTAATAAAGTGGCACAAAATAGACAAACACCATTTTCTCCCGTGATTTGTACCACCTTGATTTGGATCAATCAGCTTTTCAAAATTTTCCTATGAGAGGCGGTACATTTGTCTTGCCAACAGGCGCTGTTCCAACTCGCTCCGTTTAATGGTCACCTAAATATAAAATCAATTCTAAAATCCGTCAAAAAACCGCAATTTTTCAGCCAAAGTACCCTCACGGGTGCACGTGGCACGTGCCATCCTCTGCATCGTACACCATTCGACAGCCCGCTCAATTATCTACACGATGCTGTTTTTCCCGTGCCGGTCGGACCCCTGGTCACCAAGATATGGCACCGAGACCGGACCCGTGTCGGGCAAAATTAGCCGTTTTCGCCCGATTTCGCACGCCGATTTATACATGTAAAGTCTATGACGCGAATTTGCCCTTTTTGAGCACGCGCCACGCGCTTCCTATCAACCCGATCGAGCCCAGACCCCTCAAAGGCACGTCGCGCATCCTTGATCTATAAGTTGTGCAAATTTTACCGCGCTAGGTGCAACGGTCTGGCCTGTACCTAGTCCACGCAAAGCACCACCAAGTCGGGACCTCGGTAACGGACAGACGCACCCTCCTCAAATAGCAATATTGATCCGCAGCAATCTCGCGTGCTTCCAAGCATTTTTGGGATGTTTCGGTTGGTTTCAGGTTCAGTCCAAGCTCAGTCTGGGTTTCGGTTGTTTTACCCGGTGTGTGCCCTCAGTTCCCTTCCTCCAATTCTGGCCCAAGGCATGAACGCAAGAGCGCTGCCGGCATCTAGTGGACCCCCAAAAGAAGAGTTTGCGGCAAGAGCTGCCACGCCTAGAATTTTGAAGTTAGAGGAAAGTTTTTAGGACAAAGAGCATGCAAATTTTGCAGGGCTATAAAGTGTTTTTTCGGATTGTTTTATATTGTCACCTCACAAGGTTGAAAATCCAAAATTTTGAATTAAATATCTTATCAATCCAAATAATCCAGCAATTTCAACAAACGGAATCAATGATATAAAGTCTTAGTGTACAACCTAGGCAGTAATATGTTCTGCTGTAAAACGCCTATAATAGTCAAAAGCTCACCTGCACAGCGAAGTCGGCGTCCTCCGCGTAATGGCGTTGCAGCCCGAGGCTTTGCAGCTTCCTCCAAACGGCTTGAGATAGATGGAAGAAGCACGTAGAGCACTGTTTCTCAGGGAACACCTCCTGGAAACTGTTCATGGCCGCCCTCTCCAGATCCGTGATCACGGTTCCGTATATTCCCTCGGCGTCGGGATGGCGAAGGAGTATAGCTGCGCGGATCTGGTTAAACGTCTGACGGTACGTGAGCTCGGTCTTATCCTCTAATAGGCCATACACGCAGGGCACCGTCACACCCAGCGTAGTCGCGTGGACGGTATACAACTGCTGAAACAGCGTGGGCGACACCTTGAAGGTGCCGTCCGCAGCCCAGTGCAGACTCAGCGCCAGTTTCTCAAGCCCCCAGTCACTTGAAAATATTACGATCCTACCTCCATCGTAGGTTTCATCGTTCGCGCTATCGTACAGCAGAAACCGCTCTTCTGGCTGTCCTGGAGCATCTTTCGTCTTGGTCATCTCATCTGGGATGATCAGGTCAGCCAAAGAGGCTGGCTCGGCAGGAACCTGTCCGGCTTGCTGCCTGTAGCGACGGATAGATCGCCGTATCTCGGAGTCACGGGGCATCTCTTCCCTCGCGGCCAGGCTCATGTTGGCCTCCGCGGCAGCTCTTACAGCATGTGTCGGCTCCACAGTTGTTTCGGCTCTCTCTTTCATGACACTGCGAGCCTTGGCACGTTCAATGGCTGACTGATTAGGCCCATGACTGTGATCGGCAGTCTTCTTGAATCCTTCCGCCGTAAGAATGCCACGGCCTCTGCAGTTCAGTCGCTGTTTCACACTGCACTTCATGTAGCTGGTGTCATTTCTGACATAGTCCGTCACGTAAAAATATCCTTCGTGGCTCACACGCGGTCTTTTGCTCCCGGGTATCACCTCCATATCCCTACTCAAGCCTCTCAAACCTTATCACCCGCCCGCACCTTTCCCGACTCGCCGCGACAGTCCGTAGGCACTTCCGGTCCACAACAGTGCGAGGCCCCTGCGCTGCATTCGCCGGCACGTGCATTCGGTTAACGGGTATAGGGTGCCCCCGCGCAGGAGAACAAAATACTGCCATTATTTCGGTCTCCAGGAAAAAAATGGTCGTCAACCCGGCACGAAGAAGAGAGCACGTCAGAAGTAGCACACAACATGCGCACTGGAGGGGGTGGGAGGGAGGGAGGGAGTTTCTGCCCCGCCTGTTTTTATACCTGTTTAGGATTCAATAACGCATCTTGTGCTAAATTTTGACCTAGGCTCAAAAGTCAGATCCCAAGGTCAGGTCAAAGTCTGACCAACACCCCTCGGCACTGGCTTTAACGCTCAATATCCCGCTGAGATACATTGTTTGTTCGAATGATTTGAAACTGAGGATCAGATATGTGAGCACAGTAGAATCCGCTTAATAAATTCGCCTTGGTAACATGACGTTTTGGATTTATTATGCGGTGGCTTTATTAGCCGGAGTAGCAATTTTCATTAAAAAGGATGTATCGCGGCTCTACAGTTGGCCACATAAATACATAATGATGTTCAACTTTTAACATCGGTTGCCTGGGATGGTAGGCTGTGCCGCATCTCGCAGACTGAGTGACAAAGTTAAATGCTGTGGCCCAACACTCACCATATGGCACAATTGTGTGATAGGCGGCACAGTCTATCGTTCCATTCCACTGATAGATTGAGAGGTGTAGTCAACTATACCTTCCGTCCCCCCTGCAATACAAGCGGATAGGCTAGCATTCCTCATGCCTGATTGAAAGTGACCAGCGCACACTACAAAGTCGTCGCAGTTAGCGATAGCGAAGTCAACACATCCATCCACTCTGCTGTGATGCCTGGCTTGCCTGCTATGACAACGAAACAGTCGAGCATTGCCTGCTTCGCCGGGAACATTTATCTGAGGTGCATGATGATGGCGCTCTTGATAGCCCTGAGCTCCCTCTGCTGTTTGAAGTCCAAATGCTGCAGATTGCTGCCCCAGTATGGTTCATGGGGAGCGGGTTGGATGTCATCTTTCGATGGGAAAGACGTGACTGCGGACTGCAATTAGTTTGCAGTCCGCAGAGGCGCTGCAATAAAGTGCATTCGATAGCCCTTTCAAAGTACTTTCTGAGTGATGCTCTCAGATTTGACCTAAGGCCAACGGCTTAGCCTCCAGAAGGCAAAAACTACCAAAATTTGACGTTTTTGCGGAAAAGGTTTTTATATATAACTTTTGACTCCAATCTTGCAAGGCGCTGATTTTACCGGCATCGCGTTTGTCTCGTCGAGACGCGTCGAATGACCTATAAGTTGACCTGAAAAGGTAAACTGGGAAATTTGACCTCAGGCCAAGACCATAGAAAAGGTCATGTTGCATGTCATTCGAGTTGTATTGTTAAGCTGAACATATTGATGGGTTTTCAGCGCTCTACAGCATGATTCTATCTATCTATGTTCACTGATTTCCTCGTGCAAAAGTCCATGTTTCAAACTTCTGGGGTGTAAACTGTAGGAATGACAAAATCCCAAAGTTTTTTAGAGGTATGATTGCTTAACCCTCGCCGGACCTATTGGTTTTCTACATACATACGCGCCGGCCGAGGGGGGGGGGCGGGTACGACCCCCCCCCCCGCCGTTTCGCCCCTGGTGGAGCTAGCGCGTCGCGGAAAAAGCGAGCGTGTGCGCCGTTACGAGACGCAGAGATTGGTACCCGATTTTAAGGTCCTAGGTCAACCGGTGACCTCTGAGGTCAGGTCAAGTGCCCCAGGGTACGGTTCAGTTTTTGGTGAATAACTTCGCAAAAAAAACGGCCGCAGAGCCGCGATTTTGGCAGCATCGTGTTCGCCTCGCTCAGGCGCGTCGAATGATATACTTTTTGACCGGGTCAGGTCAACTTGGGGTGTTGACCTCAGGTCAAGGTCAGGTCAGCACCCCCAGGTCACGAAGTTGGTCAAAAGAAGTCATGTCGCATATCATTCGATTTGGCAGGCCTTCCTGAGTCCATTGGTGGCTTTCTCGACTCGCTAGCTCAATTTGATCAAGAGTTATTGACGAAAAACTAATATGACCTTGATGACGTCATAAATGACGTCACGCAAGGTCAACATTGCAAAAGTGACGCATCTAACCTTGCAAGGAGTGCATCAAATCACGAGATTTTGTGTGCTTGAGATAGTTGGAGATCGTTCCCGGCGCCAGAATAGCAGTTTTCATTTTTCCCCATTGACTTATAATGGTGAGGTCACGAAAATGACCTGACCTCATATGACCTTTAGGAAAAATCCGAGATATACAAATTGTAAGACTGATAATGGATACTAGATCCTGCAAGTTTCATTTCCCTCTGACATCTCCTCTGGCAGTGAGGGCGTTGCGAAGTTGCGACATCTGAAGACCGTGTAGAGGTTCACTTATGACGTCATAGGTCAGTGACCTGACCTGACCAAAAAAATGCGGTTGGTGTCAAAAGATGCGGCTTGGATCAAAGGTCAGGTATGCCAAGTTTCAGCTCTCTATCGCCAGCGTGTTCGGAGCTATCGCGAAAAAACCCTATGAGGGCGGGGCGGCACCCCCCTCGGCCGGGGAGGGTTAACTTGAGCTGGTGACCTGACCTTATGTGACCTGGGATCAAAATTTTCACACATGATGCAAAATTGATGTATCATAAGCGATACCAAGGTTCTCGGCGCTGCACGCTGCGGTTTTCCTTATACGCGCAAAAAACCGTCAACTGTGGCCAACCACCCCCTTCACACCCGGGCGAAGGTTAAACGCTTTTGTGTGCGAGATCTAAGACGGGATCCCGAAAGGCCCCCCTCCTCCCCTCCGCCCGCAATCGAACTTTTCATAGTTCGCCCGGAATAGAGTTAAATATAACGTCCTAGGAATAGAGTTAAATATAAAGAAACCTAGGGTGTCCGCTTTCCTCTGGTCTCCTCTACTTTTAACCCTGATGTACTTTTGTCCACACGAACTTTATACCCTACGTACCAGTACATTTGCTATACGCATTTTTGTCCGTAACGTACTGTTTTGTGCGCCTACGTACTTTATATCATACGTACGTAAGTACGTACTTACCTTTGCGAAGTGTGCTTTTGTCCCTACGTACTTTTGTCGATACGTGCTTAATATCATCCGTATATTTGCTAAAAGTACTTTTGTCCATACGTATTCTTCACCGTACGTACTTTTGCGATATGCACTATTGTCCTTACTTACGGTACAGGTCTCGCCACCTAGAAAATTTAGTGCACTTCAGGCTATATCTTCGTCGTCTTAAGCATTTAAGTGTTGAAGATGCGATCGACTTGTTGGTTGACAAGCCGGCCACGATCGTGTAAAATGGCTTCATCGTAGATTGATTAGTTTCTGAGATATAACCGGAAATGTAAAAGTGCAAAACCTACCGCTTAATCTCGCGAGAGCCGTACCTTCTATATATGTTACGGGTCATATGCTAACTCGGGCAGTATGCAAACTACCCGGGCAGTATGCAAACTACCCAACAGCCCGGGCAGTATGCATACCGCCCGGGTAGTATGCATACTACCCGACCCCTTGGGCAGTATGCATACCGCCCGGGTAGTTTGCATACTGCCCGGGTAGTATGCATACTACCCACCTTTCATCTCACGGGCAGGATGTTTACTCGGGCAGTTGCTGACCGTGGCTCGTGAGGCCAGTTAATGCAATAGCTCGCATGCTATGTCAATGGCAGACACTTTAACCCGCGCGGGGCCGCGCTCGGCGCCAACCGTGCCAGTTTTTTTTTGGGGGGGTGAACACCCCTAACTCGACTCATGTGCCACTTGGCGGCACAGGAGCAAGCTGCATGTAAGATGCGGTAAGCGGCATTCAAAATAACATAAAAAATCATGAAAAATTCCAGTCATATTTTAGGTCAGGCCAAAGATCAGGTCACCAAATATCATCAAAGGTCAATTTTCACCTTTTTAAAGTGACCATCCCACCTTACCTAACATTAGTTTTGAGTTGAGATAGCCAAATTGGTGGCTATGGCCTGCAAATACCGGTTTGGGCACTCACAGCATCGAAAAATGCTTTAATTCGGAGATATGGAATTTCAAACTTGCAGTTTTTGGGTTTTAAGGGGCTAATGCATTGGGATGCCCCCTTAGAATTTGTGACGTCAGCGGAAGTCTAACGATTTTTAAATCTTAGACTAAAACCATCGTTAACACGTGGTGGTATATGCTGCTTTGCGCGCAACGTCTGCCGCACTTCAAGGCTGCCAAATTATTGCTTCCAAATAAAGTCGCTAGAAACAGGAGAGATCCAAAAAGTAAACAAAAGTAAAAGTCTAATATCTTGAAAACCGGTGAATATTTTTCGGTGAAATTTGGTAGATACTCGTTTTCGCTCTTTCTGAACCGAGCGACATCACTGTTATGCCAATTCATTAACTTTTTTTGAAGGTGGGAGGGTCCCTTTAACTTTTTCACAAATCGCGGCCCACAAGCTCGGAAGCTAATAGAGCTAAAGCGCCGCAGAAATACGCATTCAGTAGCTCTTTTAACGCTTTCTGGAATAAGCCCTCAAAGTTGACCTAAGTTCAACGGTGTAGCCTCTAGAGGGCAACAACGGTTAAATTAGATGTTTTA